TATATATATATATATATATATATATATATATACAAAATCTTTTTGCATAAATTTCACAGTGCTCAGATGGATGTAAAACAAGACACTGCATTCTCATGATAAAAAAAAAAGTAAGAAAGCGGCACATTTTCTCACAAAAAAGCCAAGGGCAAGGAAAAATTGCCTTTCGGCGACAGCATGGAATAGCACGCTTTCATGTAGGTGAATTTTGGGGTGGCGTAAGAACTGATTAAACTAAACGCGTATATGTAAAAATAGAAAAGAATAAATTGCAGGAGCGTTCCACGAGTTTTTACTGGCGGTGAATTTTTCGGCGGTTGCGATGATCTGGTAATGGCACAGAAAAACGGTGTTCTTGAGCAGAAACTGAAAGCTGTTGGAGCGATATGAAGAGACAGACAGTACGCTTGGAAATTCGTCTTTCAGTCAAAAATTAGTTTTGAAAGATTGTAAAAAACATGCTTTTTCAAGACTGCATTTAATCATTTGCTGAGTAACTTGCTGAGCTGAATTAATATCTGTGAAATGGAAATCCGCTCACCGTTTTCCTTCCCGAAAGCATTTTTGCGTTTCATCACATGTTGTGAGATTTTTCTTATAATGGAGCTTCTTCAGTATTACAGTTTTAGTGATGGTACAGAAAAAAGTAAAGTTCGGTGAGCGGGATAGGTTTTTTCGTCTTGCCGACAGCTGTTTTTCATTTACTGCTTCGGAAGAAAGCTATTTTATTTGCTTACTTTGATACTTGGTGCAGCTTGTGTTTCATCGCTGTACAAGGACGAGAAGATCCCCCGCTGTTAAATGAAAGCATAAACTGGCGATGAAGCGGATATATTATCATAAAAATCCGTTTTCGGAAATCGATGATTAACGGGCTTGTTGATATTACGAGTCGATTTGGTCCTCGCATGGCTATCAGATATCTTTGAGCAGTAGTGACCGTCCTTCGTGACAACGCCAGATTTTCCCGTTTTTGATACACCGGCTTTGTCTAGGCTTTGTTTGTTACCTGGCGGGTCAGCATGTGTGATCGGGGAGGTGTGGCTTTTGTTTACTGTATAAGCAAGACTTAGGTCAGAATAAGTCCCATTTTCATCCCGAAATCTTCCCGGCTGCCACACACACGCTTACAGGAACTAACTTAGTCACCTGGGCCCCTGTCACAAGCACGACTTGTCACTGGTGCCACGCCACTATTACATTCATTTCGCCATTGATGCAACTGGCAATTTCTCCATTCTTCTCCATTTTGAGTTTCTCTCATTCGCACAGTTCTACACGGCCATTCAAGTGATTTCTTCTACCTTTCCTGCTTCTTTATCATTGTGTGATTACTATTTAATAATCTACTTGTCCATCTGTTATCTCTCATCCATGCCACATTGCCAACCCAGTTGGACTATTCTCATACTCACGCAGTATATATGCATTATTCCTCATTGCACACTACTTTTTTCATATTCTAATTGGTTGTTTTTTTCTTACTGTACACACTTTTAGTGTATTTTGTCTGGGAGGGCTGAAAATTTCGCTTAATTAAGATGCAGGAAAAGATTTCTTATTTCTAAATAGTAAAAAGGTAACAGTTGATCATGTTTATATTTCACCTTCTTGATCTTTCTCTTATCGTATCCAGTTCCGGAGTCTTAATTGTTTTCTTTTTTAAACCCATGAAACATTGTGTCAATTTTAGTAAACGTTTTGCATAAGATGTGATTATGTTTTTCCTATTTTCTTATTTCCTTTGTCAGCTTCTATATTTCAGTTTGTACGATGGCACTTACAGTTCCGGTGCCTGTTTCTGGCAGTACTTCACTGACCGCCTTATTGCTTGCTGTCCTAGTTTGGGAGCATGCCAGGGACTAGTATATATATGGGGCGACAGCTCCTTGTCGCGTAAAAGCGAACTGTCGATTTCAGTTTTAATGAGAGTATTGGAAGTCCTATTTTGCCCGAAAGGAACAGAAGGGAATCGAAGCTTCCATCTGCATTATTCCTCTTTAAATCGTGACGTGTTATCCATTACATTATCATCCGTTTTACAGCATTTGGAGTACTTATACCTCTGTTCCTGTCCACCCGTTTACTTGCATCCTGTGATTTTATCGTTATTTTCTATTCGGCTTAATAACAATTATTTAATGTATTTTAATAAATTAACACTAGTAACCAAAAACACCGCAAGAAATCGGTTGCATTTTAGTTCAGTATACATGCATATACATAAATATATACATACATTGATGCCCAAAAGTGTGTCCAGTGGTGTTCGCATGCAAAAGAAACTGCGAAAAATCGAGAAGAGGAGCCGAAAATTTGACGAAAGGGCGCAAAATGCATTAAGGAAGAAGAGCACAAAATTTGGCTAGGCCATTGGCGTGATGTTTATGAATAAAGCGAACTAATCAGTAAGTCTTCCTCCTCCTCTTCGTCATCTCTGGGACCAGCAGTACTCATACCCCGTCGGATGCCGAATGCCCGGTTGTTACGAACCATACCCAACCTCCGTCGTCTGCGTACTAGAAAAACAATGCTGAATGCAACTAACAAAAGCACTGCTGAGGTTACAGCAATAAGCCACGGGGGACTGGATCCGGGAAATCGAAGAAGCGTCGCTGTGGCTGGGTTCGCCGTTGAGTTTGTTTTCGTCGTCGTCCCAACCCTCATTTGCTCCTGTCTTGGGCCAGCAGCCATGTAGTTATTTTGCCAGCGTCTGAAAAGCGATTAAAAATTCAAAATTTTCCGGTTCCTGCCCTCTTTTGATTACTTGAGATACTTAAAATGACCTCAGTGAGGTACACCTTTCTAAGGTCATCCTGAATACCAGTGCTGATCAAAAGATACTTCCGGTCAGCTGCAGTTTGTAATGTCGTTCTCCAGTGCTCAACACACACACGCACACCAGTGGTGTCTCGAAACGGCGAAAACTTCACCAAAGTGCTTGTTTTTGTTCGAAGGACCGTTGTGTTGGTAATTTCTTTTCAAGAGACAAAATGAGTATCAAGATCGCCAGTTGGCTGACCCATCAGGTGATGCAGTATTGATCAAAACAAAAATATGAAAATCGATCCAGCATCAGTACCAAATTACCATCGAAACGAATGAATGAATCGTAGAGAGACTGGTTCCACTGATCATG